TCTCTGCTGAACATGTCATTTACAATACAGTTCATTTCCGAGACACAGCTATTAACTTAAACGGGGGTAAAGGGTTTAAAAAAGGGGTTTGAGTAAAATGAATGTAAATTTACCAGCCCTTCTGGCTGTGATCTTGGAGCCATGCCGCAGTAAACGAATGCACACTTCCTTGCTGCAGTGGTTGACCATCCGCAAATGAATGCTTCTCTTGGTTTGGATTTTTACAAGACATTTCACCATGTTGACTATTAATTCCTCTTCTTAAAGTCTTGTAAGAGCTCTATCCATACCAGCTTTGACCTTTTATTAAGTTCCCACTAGGTTTTAAGAGACTAACACACAAGTCGCTCTCAATGAATCAAATGACAAGCTTCTAACATGGCCAACAAAAATATCCCAGCAGGAACAGAACCAGAGGTTATTTTTAAACATTTCCAAATGCCTCATAATGTACAATACAAACTTTCACAGCACCCATCTCAGTTAGCAGTTGCTAGCATAACAGCTGAACCACACACAGAGGCATAAAAATATCTAAGGCAACAAAACATAGTGCAGTTAAAAAAGCGGCCAGCATTTATAGTCCCATTATTTTTCTAAAATGCTTTCATATGCCAGTATTGTCAGTTCCCTGTCACTGCCTGGAAATTATTTGTGAAACATGTAAATAAAATGGAAAAATCCCATGCTGTGCTTACAAATCCTACTCACAAAGCGAACCAGTCAGACCAAAAAACATTACTTTCTAGTCTAGAATAAAAACCTGATCTGTCCATGTAAACACACAAACAGAAAATTTCTAAGTCTGGGAAAAAAAATTCTCTCTTTACATATGAGCTCCAGTTCCCACTTGAGGACAATTGTTGGACAGATTCTTGTTGGACAGAAAGAAGTGTTGTTTCAGAAGGCTGGGCACTTCCCTGTTCCCAACCAGCAGATATACAGATTCCCAAAAAACCATGATGTACCTATGCTGGCTGCTCATAACTTGCTCCAGCTGGGAGCTGGAAGGCACCCATATGTTTCTTTCCCACTAGGAATATCCTAGTGGGAAAGAAACTCTTTACTGGTACATCAAAGCCACAGAGAAGAGACAAACTGGAAGGAGTGTACTGGAGGGGATATAGTCTCTCACTTCCCAGAATACTCATCTGTAATGATACATTGTGCTATCTGAATCCTTGTTCTCTTTGTACCAAAAAATCAATTATATGCTTGCAAATATGTGGGAAAGAGAGAAGTAGGGGAGGGAGTCCTGCAAATGTCTATTTTACATATAGATATTTCTCTCACAAAAGACAGCTGCTTCAGAGAAGCTTTTGGAAAGCATCTTTATGATGTTTCTCTTTCCTACATAGCCTCTATAGTATAAATATCCAGCAGGAGTCCTGTTTACTCCTTCCTCTGCTAGAGCAAAGATTTCTCTCTTCCTTTCATTCTCTGCAAGCACTTTTTGGTGGGTGAAAGGAAAGATCAAGTACCCCTTTGTTTCCTATCTCCATTTTGCCACCCCTTCAAAAGCAAGATTCTGTCTTCTTTTATCATTTTTATTCTCATTACTGTCGTAACAGCCAAAAAAGGATGATTAAATTCTTACTAAAAGGGGTTCACTCTTCATTGTGTACACAGTACAAAAACTGGAAAGAATGAATTCTTACAAAAATCTAACCACAGATGTGTTCAATACATAGAGGAAGGCCTATACAAGGACTCAAGTGTCAACTAGACAAGGTTGTGAAAGATTTCCAACATTTGAAACATTTCCAAATGCCTCATAACATTGCAAACTTCCACAGCATCCATCTCAGCTAGCAGTTGCTAGCATAACAGCTGAACCACACAGAAGCATAAAAATATCCAAGGCATCAAGTCTTTGCATAAGGGGAAAAAACGGCCAGTGTGCTCCTACATACTGATGTTGAGAAGTAAAATCTATCATTTATGTTTCATGTGACCATGCTTATGCAAAAGAGAAATTACTGTGTTCATTTCAAATTGCTCCCCATAGCTTTATCTACATGTAAGTAAAGGAGAAATCTTAAAATCTTACAACTGACTCAGAAAATCCTGAACTATACTAACTCTCAGCAAGAGACTGTTTAAAAAAATAAAATAATTGTACCTGCAAAAGTTCCACATGCTTCTCCTCTACAAGCAAATCTTACACAACTGAATACCCTCACAGACAATTGGTCTGATGGTAGTAGGTGTGTGCTTATTCCTGTACATAAAATCATTAAGGTTGGAAAGGTCATCAAGTCTGTTAACCCAGCACTACTGTATTCACAACTAAACCATGTCTGCAGGCACCACACCCACATGCCTTTTGAACGCTTCCATGGAGGTTGTTGATTCAACCATGTCCGTGGACAGTTTGTTCCAATGTCTGACCATCCTTTTGGTAAGGAAATTTTTTCTTATATCCAAACTAAACCTTCTCAGATGTAATGTGAGACCACTTTCTCTTTTCTGTTATTTATTACCTGGGAGACAAAACCAATCCCCACCTGGCTAGACACTCCTTTCAGGGAGTTGTAGAGACTGATAAAGTCACCCCAAGCCTCCCTCAAGACTAAACAACCCCAGATCCCTCAAATGCTCCTCAGAGGACTTGTGCTCCAGACCCTTCACTCACACCAGTGCTCTGGACATTGTCCAGCCCCTCAATGTCATTCTTGCAAGGAGGGACACAGAACTGAATGCAGGATTCATGGTGCAGCCTTGCTCAGTTCTTGCTCCATGCGTAGTTGAACACATTATATTTCTTGTAGTGTTGCTATACAGATTCTGTGGCTGCCTTCTTTTACCGTCTGATTTTGGTGAGACAGATTACTGCCTTTGCAGATGGTAGTCCATTGTCTCTGGATTTTTTAGGATTGCATGCTATCATAGCTTCATCTATTTGAGTAGACTATTTTTTTTTTAAATAAGAGGCAATACCATACCTCTCCAGTCACAGGATATTAATGTGGTTTTGACAAAGTGATGAAAGCTTCTTTTCAATCACTTGATACTTCTGTACTGAGATTTCAGCCATGAATTATTGATCTGATAACACTGACTTTTGCCTTTTGAACAAAAAGTATGCTTCACTGGGCTGAGACATATTAAGAGATATCAAGGCTGTTTCATGTCTGTAGCACACAAAAGCAGTTCTCCAAGGCAGTGGTGTCAGTCTCAGAGGTGGATAGCTCCCCTCTCTCCACCTCCTGCTCATGCCCTTACCCCAACACAGGACCTTGGTTGACCCTCTTGATGACCCAGTCAATAGTTGAGTCAGGCAATAATAGGAGACTGCACAGTTAAGGGGTTTTTGTTTGGTTTTGGTTTTTTTGTTTTAATTTGGCTAGCTGTTGTTATTGGGTTTGGTTTTGTTGTTTTGAATTTATTTTATTTACTTTTTCTTTGGGGTTTGTTTGTTTGTTTGTTTTGGGAGTTATTTTATGGGGTTTTGTTTATTTTGGGGGTTTGTTTGTTTGTTTGTTTTTTAACTCCTTTTCCTAGTTCACACTGTTGTGATTAGTGCTGGTGCAAGGGAGAAGGTGGGAATCCACAAAAGTGGATGTTGGGAAGAGAGCCAGCATCATTGTCGAAGAGCTGTGAGATCAATTCAAATTGTAGTTTGATAATATAGCAAAGTTTTCTGCAGAAAAAGACTGTAAAAGTGTAAATACTGTTAACTTAACATCTGGTGATATTTAGCAACATATAAATTATGCAGTTAAATACCACCAGCAGATATGTCTATTAGCTCATCATAGTAACAACAATCTGTCTGACTGAAAGGAAATGTAATTTTCAAACTTACGTAGCACAAACATTTAAAACAAGCACTGTCTGGTGAGCATGTAGCAATGTCACCAGTTTCCAAAAATGGATTTCATTGCCTAGAGTTGTAAGTGTGGTTACAGGACACGAGCAAGGACATACGGATGTACACAGCAAGCTGTTGTTACTCTGCAGTGGTGACAACTGCCCAGAGGAAGCACAGCGGTGGTACGTGGCTGATAGAAGGAAAATTCTCATATACATGTATTTCACAGCAGAGGTAAACAAGTAACTGTTAAAACTAACTGCTCTTACTACTAATTATAATAAGGTATTCACACAGACAATGTAATCACCCTGTGTTTGCTACATTCAGCGTCCAGACTCTGAAGAATGAACAAAATATGTTCATACAACTCCTATAAAATCAAATTAGGACATACTTCTATGGAAAGGAAGACACTCGCTCAGCTATTTTCTGTTTTCCACCGACCAGAACAAAGCAATAACAAAGATTGTATTTCCTAACCTCTGAAACAATTACCTCACTACATCTCAAGAAAGAACCAGTGTCAGATTTTGTTTGGTTGGTTTCATTTTAATTAGGACAAAGTCAATTATCCTATTTTAAGCTGGAAATGGTGTTCATGTCATTGTTTGTAGTGACTCTATCCCAAAAAGAAAGGTGTTCAATATGATACTAAAAATATCAAGAAATGAAGAAATACTTATCTTCCCATAATGTCCTGTTTTGTCAAGGAAGGCAACCTAAAGAAGATCTTTCCTAGTTGATCTACAAATGTCTTTTTTTTTTCCAAGCAAATTAAATTAGCAGACTAAAGCAGAAAGAAGGAAATATAAAAGTAAAGAGAACCAAGAAAAACAAAATATCCAGCAGTAAACAGCCAGTTTTCCCTCCTGACTGCTGACAATATTCAGGAAAAGGTGCCATCTTGAGACTATTTATTTCCAAAGATCCTTTAGCCTGACAATTTCAAAGATTTTTTGAAACAGAAATCAAATAGCAGTAACCTGCCTCACAATGTATCTCTCATAAGGCTAATGCACAGTTTTCCTGAGATAGCCATCATTACTGGGTATAACATACAGGTTTAATGACTAGGAATACCTAATGAAAATTATTATATTTTCTCCATATCCCTGAGTCAGTATCACACTTTTTCCCATATGCTTTATAATAAATATCAGCAGGAATTGGGTTAGTGACTCACCTTCATCTAAAGGAACCTCTTCCTCCTCACAGGGAGAGGGAAGGAGAGGCTGCAGAGGTTCCATGTTGATTATGAGTTGCTTGTTCAAGGAGGGAGAGCTGCGACTCTGGGTAATGCTGGTTCTAAAAGAATGGAGAAAACAGGTTTGTTCAAAACAAAATAATAACAAACAGTTATTTCAGTTTGCTTACTGGAAATAACTGCAGTCCAGTAGGTCTCATCTCAGAATTATTTTGCATAAATTACTAGGCCTTGAGCTGTTGAAAAAAGCTCTACACATTGAATGCTGCTTTCCTGTGTTATGTTGTACCCTCTGCAGATGTAAACATTTCAACATCTGAAGTGTGAGAGAGTTTTTGTGCTGATTTAGCTCCTTTACACTGCCCGACTTCCTTTCGTCTGAGTCAGGATTTCAGTGTGTTGCTCCTCTCCACAGTGCACAGCAAACATTAATATTTGGATTCAAGGAAGGGAAAAGTTGTTCCATTGCCTCCAGAACTGGATAAAGGATTTGTTACAGTTTGAACACTGAGGATCAAAGACTAAAGCAGGAACAACTGTATCCCTGTAGTTTACAGATACCGAGCACTCTCACTCATGCCCACGCACCCCAGATGCTGCCTCTACACCATGCCTCCCAGAGCTCAGGCTGTTTTTCTTTCTTGTCTTACTTTGCTCTAAGAGGCTTTCCTGGTAGCAGGTGTTAAATATGCGCTGGAAAGTTTTAGGAATGCTGCTGATTTTCTTCTGTCATGATCCTTATTAGCCTAAAAATGTATTACTGAGAATACAAAATGGCTCTTTTTAATATGTTATCTACGATTTACACAATATAGGCCTGAAGCAAGAGTCCTGCAGTAAATCTTAAACATTGTATTATAAAACGTTTACTTGGACAAGAGCAAAGATTAAATGGAAGAGTATTCTACTTGACTTGAAATGGTATATTGATACAGTGCTGAAATTTCACAAAATGCATTTCAAGTCTGCACAAAAATCTCAACTTAAAATTCCACATAAACAAACTGAACAAAGAACCTTTTTCAAGTCAGAAGATGGAACTCTGTGTTGCTGAAGGTTCAGGTAAACTTGGGATGCAGATGCCCAACTCTTAATCCACACTACCTCTCAGTAAATATTCTGTGGGAATAAACAAGCTTTCTTGCTCAATTGACATGATTTCTTGTGCTGTAATACATGCCCAAAAATATTTATATCCTCATTTGCATTTTCTGATAACTATTTAGTTTAAATTTTCACTATCCACAGAGGGTTTTCACCCAGGTTATTATAATTATTGTCACTCCAAACCAATGGTAAATCCCTAGGCTTCTTATGCAATCCCTGAACTTTTATGCTTGTAAAAATCTCACAAACAACTCCCAAAATACAAGTTGTGCCTGGGAGCACCCACAGGCTTCTGTTTCATACTTATTTACAAAGATGCCTCATTGAGGCATGCCCTGGAAACAAGACATGAAATCATTCATTTTGTATTTGGCAGAAGAACTTGCCATGCATTAATCCTGCGTGACGACAGACTCCAGCAGATTTTCAGTGCACAGTGCTTTAAGTGTAATATCCAAACACAGAGATACTGAGAATACTCTCCTCTCAACTGCATGTTGCTTTCTTAATGCAACCATTGTACAACTGAATTGACCTTGAGGGTGAGAGCACAGGGAGAAAAAACTTTAAATAGATATATGTTTACGTACAATCAAATATTTTTTTCTGAATGTTTCGCTTCTGAAAAGACATCATTTCCTATCCTGAAATTCTCTTTCACAGAGTATCTTTTTTTAAAACATGCCTCATTTTTTGAACTGAAAATTTTCCATATTTTTTGCTTGCTTGTGCTTTTAGAAGGATCAGATACCTCTGTCTCCCATTTCACAACCTGAGCTATAAAAGCACCTGAAATCATTATATTCCTTAGTCTTTCTAAGAAACTGAACTTGAAGCTTCCATAATATTATAAATGCAAGCTTTGTAAGAAGGTTAGTGATAAAAGAGGCACTCTTGCTATTTATGGATGTTAAATCCATATGATGTTGCTTTGTAAAATTATTTGCTCTCTGATCTGTTTCTTTATGTACACTAAGTTTTAAACTATGTGTTTAAAATACTTTTAAATATAGAAATCAAATAAAAGCAAAATTCAAGATAAAAAATAAATGTATGAAAATCTTTTCTTATCCTGGAACAAAGAAACTTCTTGGATAGTAGGCAATAAGCTATTTCCTAAACTGAGCAACTATTCTCATTTAAAATGCATTTGTGTGCCCAAGTACTTTATGCTGCCTCAATGATACATCTATATTCTGCCTTCTGTGTTATCATTTAACACATTCTAGATCTTCAATTACCTCATTTTAAAATGTAATCTGGACAACCATGTTTGAAAGCATGCCTGCATGGCCTAACTATTAATTACATAGTAGGGCTGGACAACATATTATAAATATTTACTGAAAATATATTTCCATCTTTTAGTAAATACAATCTACTTTTATCTAAAATATAGGCAGAATAGCAATACTCAATTAAAAATAAAAAAGCATATTCCCCCCAAACATGAAATTGCAATAAAAAAAGGAATATGGTTGTAGAATGTACAGACTCTTAAGTAAAAATGTTTCAAGTAGTTTTCCCTGAAGGCCTCTTTCTTTTCTGAAGAGCTTTATTCAGATTCTTAGGAATTTTTACTGTCACTACAATGAGTGATAAGGACCTGAAAGCATTAGTTTGCTTGCAAAGTCTAGCAGCTTATTTCTTACAAGCCAAATTTTCCACTGAAAAAAAAAAAGATTCTACAATATTTTTTCCTCTTTACTGAATGAAATTCATGCTTTTTCTTTCCACCCAACTGCATTATGGAAAAACTATGAAGTATACTTTGAAACATACTCATAAACATCTACAAACCAAGAACTTTCAAAAGCAAACAAAATCTAGGAATGAAATTAAGAGTGTATTTTTCTGTCAGGATCATATAATAAGAGCTTATGACGTAACACAAAAAATAATAAAATCTATCTGACTGATTAGTGAAACTCAGCTTCAAAGCATCACAGATTAGGTTCTCCTTTATAGGAGACATTTGTCCGAATTTTGTAGCATTGTCAGACATATATTTCCTAAGGCTTGCATGCATAATTGTGGAAGCTCAGAATGACAGCCATTGCAACTGATAGAAAAGGAAGGAGAATATTTCTGTAGAAAGCAATAATCCTACCTAGTCCTTAAACTTTAACACTGAATGTGGAGACATACCTGTGAACTTCAGGAGGTTCCCTCTGGATCTTAGAGCTTGCCTCCACAACCTCTTTGGCTACTTTTCCACTGCATTAAAGATGAAATGAATATTCAAGTAAATACTAAAACACATGCCAAGAACTACATAAATGTAGACAATTAAGTTACATTTAAAATAATTGCAATAAAGTACATACATAATGTCCCAGAATTGTGCTGACTACTTGCCCACAAAGCTACCAAAGAAAAAGCAACTTTTTGTAGTAGAACACCACAGGTTGAACTGGACTGCCTCTTTATCTCACATCTGGTTCAGAGCTGCCCGGCTGCAGGTGGCATAAAATCTCTGCACTGGCCACACATCCTAGTTTTTACAGAAGCTGCACCAAAAGTGGAGCTATCTGCTGGTGGAACTACTCTTGAGAAGAGCCTGTGTTACAAATCCTGCTTATTTTTTAGGTGACACTAAAAAAGGCAACAGGAAGACTTACAAATTTTGATGTCAGGTAGGCATGAACAGACCCTCCAGCAGTAACAGCCCTGAATTTGCCATGAATAATTACTTCCATTTTCTTACTTCCTGAAATGATTTATCACGAATAAGAAACATCAAACACTCACCTGTATCGAAATCTACTGCCTTTAAAAAATATCTTGCTGCTGGACATTGTCTTGATCTGACTGGACTTTGCATACCTTGAAAAAAAATAACAGAGGCTGATACCTTTTCAAGGACATGATAAGCAAAAATGAGCAAGGAAAAATACAAGCTTTGTAATTTTTATACCATAAAGTAATGTTCAAAAAATGAGCTTTTCAACTTTTTTAAGCCTTTATACAAACTAGACAGTGAAGCACACATAAAATTATTCAGACAACATAGAATGACTGAACATGGAACAAGTGATTGTGATGAAAACAAGGAAATTAAATGCAGACACTTGCTGCAGCTCTATGAATTTTCACTGCCAGGATGAAGGAAAGACCGTGGTATACCAAAGGCTCTGGGATGTGTACCCTAATACTAGCTTGTTTGTGGGAAAATATGGCTATTTCTGTTTTTCCACTAGGCAAACAAAGAAATAATAAAGACAACAACTTGTCTCCTGAAGTAGGTAGGTGCTTCTCCAATATCTGTATTCAGTCAGCTTCTTAGTAGCCTACATCATACACTACTGCTTCTCTGTAATCAACAAGTACACAGAAACATTTTATCTTTATAACAAAGACCATAGAAGAGTACCTCATGTGCCATTTTCTTGATATTCTCTTGAAAAATATAAAATATATTTTGTAGAGTCTCTAATTCCCAGATCCTAGTAAACAACTGTCCATGATTTGTATCTGCTTGAATAATTGCAAGTGACCCCTGAACCCGGATCAAGACAGGACTAAAGCTCTGTTTTTCAAAACATGTCACATCATCATAACCTTCCCTTAAATTCTAAGTCTTAAACTCTTCTAGGAAGAGGAGAGGACCAAATTTAATTAAGGCGAAGTATCATTGTCCTGAATTATTTACACAATCTGACAATGTGTGCTTTAATCTTATTAGAATATCTTGCTGGTATTATATAGAACTTAAACAAATAGGAATTATCTAATGCTGCTAAGGAACAGTCCCCACTGTACAACTCTATTTCTCTGAAATGTGCGGAAACATTTGCTCTTTCATTATCTTTCAATATCTCAATATCTTAAGGCTTTACTTGTAGATAGTTCTGGCTTCAGTTTAATGTTTGAAGGATTATTGTTATTCTTCTACACTCTGCATATTAAACATTATAATTTTCCAATCTATTGCTCATGTCCCTATCCTTTGAGTAACATTACCAATCTTCATTTTATTAAAAAAGTCCTCTTGAAAGACCCATCAAAATTGAAACAGGTGGGGCATAACTTTAAGCAATCAAAGTTAAGGAATAATTCCACTCCATAATTTGGAAAGTAGAAAAATAGATGAGAGAAACAGCATTGAACACACCAAGGACAGAGCAGAACAAGGGGGAGGAGGTGCTCCAGGTGTCAGAGCAGATTCTACCAATGGAGAAAACTGTGGGGAAGGAGTCTGTCCTTACTGCAGCCCAGAGAAGACCCTGCAGCAGGCCAATGTGCTCTGAAGAAAGCTGCAGTCCATGGAGAGCTCACACATGAGCTGGCTCCAGGCAGGCATTGTGGCCCATGGAGGGGAACACAAGATGCAGCAGGTATATGCTGAAGGACTGTAAGCCCATGGGAAGGACCCATGCTTGCGGAGTTCATGAAGGATATTGGAGTACAGGAAGAGTATAAGAAGGAAGGAGCAGCAGAGAGGAGCTGCAATTTCCATTCCCGATCTCCCTGAGCTGCTCCAGACAAGGAGGACATAAAGGAGTCAGAAATGAAGGAGTAAAGGTGATCCTGGACTGAAACAGGGGAAGGGTGGTTTTAGTTCTGTCTCTGTTGACAAATTGAAATAAAATGAAAAGGTTAAAAAGAAATTAAATTAAACTTCTGCAAGTCAAGTCTGTTGGTAAGCAAGAAGTTGGTAAGAAATATTTTTATCTTTATCCTAAGCTATAGGCTACTTTTTATACCTTTTCCTCTTGACCTGCTGAGTAGAGGGAATGAAAGAGCAGCTGTGTAGGCATCTGGCATTTAGCCAAGATCAAACCCCCTAAACGATGTATTTGTGACCAAAACTCATATAGTTAATATTACAGCCATTTAACAAGAAGAGCAGAGAGGTGATATGCCTGTGAGTCTCCCTGAGACATTTTTACATGGAGCTAATTTCTACTCAAAGAAAGTAATTTGTCTTCTTTAAGGGGAAATCCTCTCCTGTTCCCTATTTATTTCTTGTAACATGAAATGAAACCACTCAAACACTACGCAGTATTTTCCTGCTTAAATCTAACAACAGAAAATGCTTCCGGATAAACTTCAAATTAATCTTTAATTATAGACTATATTTAGGCTTGCTATAGTCTCAAGCACAGTAAATGCTGACATAGAGAATTAACAAATGCATTTTGCCAGCTCCTACTTCCTGTTTCTTTTTTCTATCCAGTTGAATATATCAGTTGGATAGATCATATATTATTGTATCACTGTTAAAACTGGAGAGTCTCTTCTCCAAATTAAAGCAGATAATTAACATTCAGGTTAGAAGATATATCTTTCCTACTTCATTTTTATTTACCCTTACAGCAGCCCTCTGTTGTGGCTGTGTGCCAATACAGAAACAGTAATATTTATAAAATATGTAAGAGACTGTAAGGAAACACTAAGTAGCAAGAATAAAAGCTCCATGCCTAGAGGGAAGCATCAATAAATAGATCTAACAAAGTCATGGAGGGCAGAAAGAATACAGAGGCATGATTAATGAAGAATTATTATAGGTTCTCTTTCAGGGAATAGGGAGGTAGATGCTACATTTTTTTATCACTTTACAAGCTTTTTATGTATAACGAGATCACAGGTATCTTTCAAAATGTATCTAAGAACATTTTCTTTTCTTCCTTAAATCGTTAAAGAGAACTGTTTATTTTACAATCAACTCTTACTAAGCCTTGGATTTCAAGTGGAAGAGCAATTACCTCCTGGCAGAAGAGCCCAGAGAATCAAGAATGACAGATTTTTCCCTTCATTCTAAACATATTCCACAGCAGGGCTAAGATTAACAGCTGTGTTCCCAGACACAAGTGCAGTATTCTGTCCATCCAATATCTCACTACAGAGCACCAAAGGTATTGTGTTGGAGCCAAAACCCTCCTGCCTCATTTAGATTTAAAACAATTTCTAATACTGGCTTGAAGTGAAATTATATTCCCCATTAATTTGTGTATTTTCTGTTTACATTTTCCTTCTGTTAGTTAAATGAAACATTTCACAATGAACAATCTTCCACTCACATGCACTTGGTTTTTTAACTTTTAGTATAGATAATGACTTCAAGCATACATACTTGTAAAAAGCCTGGTTCTCCACCCCACACTTCCAAAGATGCTTGCAGGCTGCTGGTGTAGAGGTATGGAATGACAGCACAGCCTTCTTCTAAGTGTAAGGAAAAGAAACCAAATGAAAGCAGTGAAAATGTTGAATTCTCAGTGATTGAAGCAGCTCTACCTAATGGCATAGTCTTTAACCAGATACACTGAAGACCAAGTTTTCCTGTGTAGTGTAAATCTGTGGTTCACCTACAGATGTACAATCCATACATAGATGATATTTAAACTACCCAGGCATTTTTTTCAGAAACAAAAGGAGATGTTTCAAGGGGGGAAGGAAGAGCATACATACAAGTGGCCTTTAAAACAACCATATAACTAGTCAAAATCAAATGAGGGAAATCTCTGTGTTCAATACTCTACATCACACAGTTGCTGCACTACTTACCACCCACCTCTCCCTCCTCCCTACCATGTGATGTCCTACCATCAAAATTTCCTTGCAACCACACAAGCAGTCCTGATACCTCTGGCATTATTTCCTTCCTTCATTTTCATTCCTCACCTCCATTCAAAACCATAACCTTAGACTATATCACTCTGATCTAGGGAAAGAACTGATTATAACATGTTGTAGGCAAAAGTCTCTAGGATTTTAATGACAACACACCAGTGATAAGATCCCTAATTACACGAGATACACTCTAATCTTTTCAGCTCACCAAGATTTGAGGATGGGATTGTCATTATCAAAAAAATACCTCACATTAATCCAGATATCAATGCTTACTTGAATTTGCAATCATATACAGACATCTTCTATACTTTAGAGTGGGTGAGTACAACTTTAGCACTTAAAAATAAAGCTTGACTCCAAAGGCGTCCAAAACCATGAACAATCCACATAGCACAGCATGAATATTAAGCAAGAAAAGTCTCAACCCTTTGCAAATTAGACATTTTTTTTCAAAAAATACTCACATTCATTCATATTTTATATTTTAGTTACAATATTAAGTACAATTATTGATTATTTAGTGGTTTGTTTATTAAAAGATATACTATGTCTTATACAAATACAGAATCTTAATCAAATACAGAAGTTCTGTAAAAATATTAAACACAACCTCTTTCTGAGCTCCAAACACATAAAATGTCTTCCCTTCAAATTTCAGTTTATAGACATCACACCTAGAAAGAGAAAAAAATATTTAAATATAGGAAAAAAATGATAGATCTACAAGTAGGAAAAGTAACTAGCATGTAAGTTTTCCTGATTACCAAAGTCAAGCAGGCAATCAAATGACAAAAGCCCTCTATAGACCTTAAAAGATTTATGGTAAAATTATTTAATACTTTAATTTTTTAAAGAGCATAAGCCCAGAGTATTTATTTTACATCCTTATGTACCTTTAAAGAATTAACTTTGTCTCCTGGAAATTGAAGAGGAAATTAAAGGTAGACAGAGGCTTATTCTATTTATGGCACAATTTATAATTCTTCCTACATCTTAAAATCTTAGAATGTCTATTGTAATTAAATTGACGGAAAGGTAATGTTCTTTTCTCTATACTTTTTTTGTCTGAATCTTCATATCACACATCTCAATAACAGACTACTTATTACAGAACACAAGAAGAAGAAAAAGAAAATGTTTAGCAGCATTTGTTATAGATAGGCTTTGTGAGTTGCAAAATCTATATCAAAATTTAGCTTAATCAAGGTTAAGTGCTCAAACTTCATATGGAATAAGAGTGCACCATAAAAAGGCAATATCATGTAATGGATATTTTTCATTACCAGAGTTAAAATGGAGCCACTACTGTTTTTGATAAATTTCCCTAAGGGTTTTGGATGTCAGAGTTGAAACAGGAATAATCTTGGAGGTAAGGACAATGCTATACCTGAAACTTTATAACAAGAGTTTTCCTTTTACATGAGAAAACAAAAAATCATTAAGAAAGCTTTTACACTGGAAATAAAATCTCAAACAAAAATTTGGGTTTTTATTGTGTAGTGCAACTTTCAGCTAAAATTAGCTACAGCTACTAGCACTCATTTCTAGGCCTCTGAAATTGAAGAAGCAGTACATAGTGTTCAGATAAAACTCACTAGACTGACCTTTCAGCCTCTGCTGTGATACTGAGGGTTTATGGGCTTCTCCTCCATCATTGCTTTATTTTTTATCTGGTTTACATATTAATGCACTTAATAAGTATGCCTAGATAACCGAGAGGACTCATTATCCTCAAGTAACATGAGAAGTTAAATGCTGTGAGATTCATTTCCCACAGTATGGTGGACACATGCTTGGCAAGTGCTACTCTCTCCTCAGTGTGCCATGGACTGACATTACTGTTACGTTTTACTTGTCCCAAAACCACAAACCACTGAAGTACTGTGATCACAACTATCTGCAATTAACTCTAGGGAAACTGTACTGTAAATCCACTATTGCAAATGGATGGCTTTTGATAGGCATGTCCCCAGAGCTCCACAGGGAACTCAATTGTATGGACAGGACTATGCTAATTTTACACTTCTGAGGATTTCAGGTTATTCAACACTCTGGGAAGTTTCTACAGTTTCTTGATCCCACAAGACAGGCTGAGAGCTCAGAGATGGAAAAGTCATACCTAAGTAACTGTTGTTGGTATGCACGTAGCAGTGGGGCTAAAATAAGATTATCAATGCCTAAGCATGACTGGTCACTTTGTACCACACTGTTGACAGCATGGCCAGCTGCTCTTAACATCATCTGCAGGAGCCCAGTTTTACCTCTTCCTCAAATGTAGCTGACTGAAGCTAGCAAATTAAGTCCAGGAGTTCAAATAGAAGCAAAAACCAGACAAACCCAGGACAATTGCAGAAGTGCCCATTTCTTAAAAAAAGAGACTAAAAAAAAAAAATTCAAAGGCATTCTCAACTCCACCTCCTCCGTTACCAAATAAGTTGTTTCATAGTTTTCAAATTGAGGGTAATTAAATGAGGAAGCTGCAATATTTCCAAAATTCAAATAAAGATTAAGGTGGACTCTCTGCTAATAGACCTTACTGAAGATTTATATCATAGCTGAAAAATCAACTTACTCAGTTTCAGCATCTGTAAATTATGTTGACTAATGAATCCTGTGGAATAATTTTCTCTGGGAGTTGAATGAGACCAAATTGGTTTTGTTATTGTTATTGTTGTAGTTGTTGTTATATAAAATCCTTTAAAACAGAAACATAAGGGGGCAAGAGAGGTAATATTCACATGGTTCTCCTTAAAGACAACAAATGCAGATGAAGATGGTATGAAGACACAGGAGAAGATAAGCTTATTTATTAAAATATTCTTACATCATATGCTTACCATTTTAATAAATGAATTCTTTTATTCCCCTGGAAAACTACAAACCCTGCAGCTGTGAATCCTAAAAATGTAGTTGTACCGAATGAGTCCTTGAAAGAGAAAAAGAAACATAACAACATAACTTTCGTCTCATCCAATGAGATATTTCTTACTGATACTGAAGTATTTCTTACTGATTTCTTACTGATAGCATAAATTGTTACTCCATTCTAGATTACCTTTATTTTGTTTTACTCTTCAAAACAAATTTTGCCTTCAAAATGTACACTTCTAAAGGAAAGGACAGTCCTTCCAATACAGACCTCGTTTTTTTTCTAGGCATTCGAGTAACAGTATGTTATGCTTTGTTTCCAATTACTATAGTTGATAACAACTGGGACTCCTTAGGTAGACTTACCAAATTCATTGAAAATGTATTTCTATTTATATCCTATCCTTAAAAGGAGTAACTACAAAGCGGGGATTCATATCCACTTCAACACTGATATTTTTAGGATTTCACAATACATTCTTCCTCTGCAAGATGTTGTGTTGAAAATACTGCTGACAGACAGCATTTATTAATATAAGCTTCTGTTTTGTCTCATATACTCTTCAGTACAAACCAAGAAATAGTGGTATGTACCTTTCAAATAGAAAAGAAAAATTTTAAAATACAGCTCTACAACAAAAGTTCTGGCTTATAATTTCTGATTAATGATTGAGATGAATTTTGTATTCACTGAATTTTCTGTCCATCTCAAGTTCGATACCCTCATCTTGCTAAAGATAATCAACTTTATTATGCCTTATGTCTTACCAACAAAGTAAAGGGGAACAGAAACAGGGATGGTTCTGGAGCAGCAGTCACAGCACTGAAAGAAGCATGTCAAAAGGAATCTGCAAAGAACCTTGTTTTGAGGTTCACTTCCAGAAGACAGACAAATCTTCCTTAGGCATGGGTGATGAACATCTGATTGGCCCCCACACTACAAGGCCTGCCACACAGGTAAAGAAGTAATTCTGAACCAGTTGTGCCTCAGTTTCTGGGATGCCTTTTGAAAATCTGTAGGATAGTTTCAAAGTAAACTATCATCTGACTTCACTAAGCTCTGAACCAGACCCTGTCTTTCACACAGTAAAGTGTGAAACTGACAAAGTATATACAAAATCTATATACCTATACAAAAATCTATATATCTATACAAAACTCTATCTATTCAAAATCTATATATACATATATATGTATGTACAGTTTTGTGTTAGAGCTGACTGCTTAAGGATGATCACCACCAGAATGGGTAACTAAACAGTACTGCTATCCCAGCAGAAGAGAACACATGAGCCAAAGCAAAAGCAGCAGTTAAAACACAAAGCAAGTCAGTCTAAAAATAAATACTGCAGATGATACAGATACAACCAAGTGATTAAAAATGCACGCATATAAGATATCAGAACTGGTAATTAAAATCACCTTCTTACAGAGGACCACAAAATATCAAAGTGGGAAGTGAGAATGGGTTTTCTTCCTTGTACATTTGGCTTGCTGCTCTTCCTAAGATTTCCATATTTTGACGGTGTTAGAAAAATCTGATCTGCCATGGACTATCAATGTTTTGCATTTTCTTGCCAAAATAATGGTGAATCCTGAAAATCTTGGCAAATAAAAAAATATTTTATACCTGAGTAATTAAAAGAAACATTTGCGCTAAATACAAAGAAATTATGGACTATTATCAGAGCTTATGCCATTACAATCCAGTAGATTCTCCTGTGATGTTCTTCTGTTCCCCCTGGAGAGACCCTTTTTTTGACTGATGCAGAAATATTAAGCACTCAGTGTTCTTCCAAGGCTTAAGTATAACATGTAGTTCCAGGGCAGGTTTTTTAGAAATTGTTCCCTATTTGTGCCTGGATAAAAACCAGAGCTAAATCAAACACATTACTAGCTTTTAATTAAATGTTAGTAAAAAGAATATTTTATTAAAAGTTAGTAAAAAGAACTGTTACCTTGCAAGGATGAGGATCAACACCATAAGTTTCCAAAGAATTTGCTTTAAGAAGCAAGTTAAATTCAGCAACAGCTGGGCTCTGACCTCTGAAATTACAAAAGAAAAAGAAGTTTGACAGCAAAAAGAAATAGGAGAAAAAGACTGAATGACTGGAGAATTTAAATGCCTAAGGACAGAAGAAAGTTTTTACTGACATTCAAACTATTTTAACCATGTTTTGTTTGTAATAAAAAGCTAGAAAACTTTTCATATCTTTTCTTCTGCTGAATTGTACAGTGCCTGATATTTTCATATAAATTCTGATTTTTTTATAAATCCTGAGATAACAACAGAATTATGTCATATTTTGAAATTTTTTCTTGTTTTTTGATATACCCTCATGTCAGCCTGATTATGAAATAAACCTCAGCATCTTTTTTCCACAAACTCTTGCACCCCATTTCATTTAAAAGGACTGTGAAGCTTAACAAACATTCCTTCTAGTGCAGGGTATAAACACGGCAATCATATTACACTGCCTACTCAGATGTATATCTAATTATAGCAGTGCCTGCTACCAACATGATAGCTCAGAATCTGTCACAATTTCTATTTATACACCCCTATTTTTAGGGTGTCTATAATCAACAGCAAATATACACTAGAGCCCTAAACGTGGCATGAAGACTTGGGGTCTAGAGTAAGTTTTATCTGATATTTGGTAACTACTGCCATTACAACCAGCTCTTAACACAAATTTACAATGCCCATTTGAAAGTGAACTATTTCAAGTATTATTTCATGTCTGTATCTATATGACTAGAGTACATGGTTTTGAAAGATAATACGGTTTTATGATAACAAACAGTGCCTAGGACCTTTAGAAAGCCAGACCTCATAAATACTTTCCATGCAAATAATTTTTTGAAATTTTGAAAAAATGTAAAAAAATTAGAGCCATAAGCAAATTTTCAAGGAGCATAGTGATAGTCATACTTTATTCTGCCCCTAATTTTTTTTTTTTTTTTTTAGTCTAGCCGCACACTGTAAATTGTACATAGGAATTAACAGCTAATTCTTCACTGTATATTGTTGTAACATAATTTCCCTGAAAGCCTGTTACTCTCCATCAGGTAGAATCCAACAAGTATTGACATATGATATCCAGCATATCTGACCCAAAGTTAAGGTTAACAATTAAAACAACATCTAACATACTTGTGGACATCAAATCCTATTTTGAACATAACAGGAAGATGACCTGTGGCAATGTAAGTGTCAATAACCATTTCTGTTATAAATTTCTTAGTTTACTGTTACTGTTTATCATTTCCTAGTCAACCTCATAATATTTCTCGGGTTTCTTCAGTATTTATTTGACACTACACAACCTTCACTTTATTTCAGACCACATTTTTGTGGATCTTTTACTTCTAAATTAAAATATATCTATTAGAGAAGAAGTGGCCTTCTTTGTCTTTCCTGTTTCAGCCTCTTTCTCACCACTTGCCAGTGGGGGAAGTTCATGCATTAAGTGGAACACCAAAAACTACAAATGTTTATTTACACAGCTAATAGTTAAGGAGAAAGCAGCAGAAAAGCAGCAATCAAAATAAAAATGTTTATTTTTCCACTCAGTTTTTTGGTAGCTCTACTAAACTTCTATTCAATTTTAAATACTACTAAATCACAACTTTATATCTCATCACAACTCTAAGACCATAAATGACCCCTAAAAAAACCAACAATTTTATTTCATGTACCAGTCAACTGCATTTGACAGAAGTAATTAATTAGTTTGACCTAAATTACTTTGAATAGTTATGTTGCATGCTGAAAAACTGAACAAATAGTTTGGTTGCTTATTAGATATTGGGCCTTACAGAAACAAAGGATTACAAAATGCATTTTTTAATCCACCTCTGTTTGCTGATACAAAGGATAGGCAATCTTCTGGTTTCAGTGGACCAAAAAGTGATCAGTAGTATGCAACCATGTGATTTAGGGAGTTGGCATACTTAAATGGGAAAAAAACCTCAGCTTGCTACTGCTATTAAAGAGACATTAAAGAAAATATTATCAGGCTCCCCTCCCATGTAGGTATACCCTCCTCTCTGAACTATGATGATGTTGTGTACATCAAGTGAAACAAGCTGTAGTATTTGGGGGGAAAACAGCAGAAGACATGGACAAATTTGATCTTATCTGATTACAGATTAATCAAATGGCTACAGTGCAAAGCCTTAAAAGACCATCATGAAGAACAAGAGTCAAGGACAATATCAAAAGGAAAAATCCTCATCCATCTCTTATCGAAAGATTAACATTTAATCCTTGATAATATGCTTTTCATGTGTAATTTAGTAATGAAATCTTTTTACTAAATAAAAATATAACTGTAAGAAATCCTATCAGCAAAGTCAACTTATTTTATCATTCACTGTTCTAACATTAGATATGCCTTTGATTTGCTTTGTTAAAAAGCCTTTAATCTTTCTATATGCAACAAGCAGCCTTACAAAAGAATTTATAGTGTACTTATTTATGCAAGTGATCTACAGTGGAAGAATGGGGAATATTTAGACAATACATATTTGCTTTTTTGGAACTCAGGACTCTCAGGAAATTCAGTGCATTTATTGCTTTTGACCTTATTTTTCAGTATTAATTAATATAATCTATCACAGTATCATATATCATATATCTTAAGGGAAAGATATATTCTCTTTCTGTATGTTGCAGGCACTACAGCATCCATCTGTCCTATGGCAAAGATATAGAACAGGACCAAAAAAAGAAATTACTACTGAGAAAAGTTTCTGCATACCATACAAATGACCAAAAGTGGATTATTTGTGAAATTAGAGCTTCACAGACATTAGCTATGAATTAATTATTCAACCTCTAGTTATCAATCAATCCACAAGTTCCTAATAAAATTTTAATGAAACAAATACTTCAACGGAACATTCAGAAGTATGCAACACACTCTGTTTTAACTTGAGGCTCGTGAGAAATATGCTCTAGAGGATGTAAAGCTCTTTTTATTGCCCGAAGGGCAAGGAAGCTCAACGGGGAGTAACTTCCAGGGTGTGTCATAGTGATGGTCTACTTGCTTCACTTACTGCCAATACCAATTCATGTCAGAAGTTTCTCCCCTTCATACCTTTCCTTTGAAGTATGTAACTGTTACATACTAAAGTTGTAGATCTTAGCACAAATTAAGGATGAAATAGCACAGGATTGAGCATTAACTCCTTTTGACAAAAAAGACCAAAAACAGCAAAGAAAAAGAATTTTCAATGCTATTCTCATCCCCTTGGTTCCTGAGTGCCATTAGTCAGATAATTTCATTTGTCTTCTCTAATTCTCTTACTGACTTATAAAGTGCTATGAGATACTACTATTAACAAACTAATAATAATAACAATTACAGTCCACCCTTTTGCTTCATCTCTATGTTAAGAAAATGTACTTGCTGCAGAATACAATAGCAATGCTTTCTTGGAGTATGTACTATCTATGTTTAATTTCTGGACATTTGGGGTGTGTAAGATGTATGAATGTCTTTAATAAAACAACACATAAATATGTACCTAATGGTCTGGCCTCTACAGACATTACATATTCATCTCCATGCAAAGTGGGGACACCAGCCATATGCAAACACAGGCTCAGTGCCCTGCAATCTTGGACATATTTCACTGTGATCTCAGGAGAGACAACAGTAACAACTTCAAGAAATTAAATATTCTTCTTGTTATATCCCAGAGCTTGTAGAGGACATCTCCCAACAGAACTGAGTTACCCAGGACTCCTTTTAACCTAAAATAATGCTAGAACTCTGCTAAAGAATCAGCACACTTATCTGCACTATACACTGAACACAGAATTGCTTACCATGTGAATAAGTTTTTGCTGTTGCATCTTTAAATCATTTTACATTACTCCAATTGTTATGAAATTACAGTGCTAATGGTCCTGTTCAGCTTTTACTTTAAGGTCAGAATATTTTGGCAGATCGTGGAGATGTTTTTAAATAAAGTCTTTTTGCTACTATTTTTAGTCACAATAATAGTGCTATGTGTCATTGAAATCAACCTGCTATGATTGCTAGTGTTTTAGTTGAAGTGGCAAAAATAGCACAATGGTGCTGATAATCTCAAAGAAAAGCAATAAATGACAATACTGGTAAATTAAATTGCATTGTAGGCTGTAGTTCAGTTTATCAGAATAATATGGCCAGCCTCAGCACATTGCTCAAGCAGCAGTGCAGCTCCCCAGGAACTGCCCAATCTGGCACTAGTGGAGGAAAGCCTTTAAAAGAAATATTATCATCTAGAAAGTAAATGAATTGCTGAAGATGCCTGAAATATACTAAACTTAGAAAGCTGCAGAATACTTAAATATCAATTTTAACTTTTACTGCAAAGTTGTTTTTTTTCCCAGACAAATAGAATCCCAGTAAAACCCAAATAACCACTTTAAAACAATTATCAAACTCTTTTACCCGTCTATCAAATGCATCCATGCATTTGATGGCATGTGCCACTTTCATAACTCCTTCTACCAGAACATTTCAAATTACTTGTGTGCCTTCAGAGATCAGAATGAGATGGTGTCTCTGAAGTCTGTGTTCAGATATTTTTATTTCAGCTTTTTTTCATAAATTGATGCAGTGACACAGACAGCTTTAAGTGCATTCAAAGACAGAACACATTTGCGGAAGAGATGCAGTTTGAATTAACCTAATATTAATTTAAAATGTATTATTCCCATGATACAGAGAAATCTACTAAGCTTTCTAGTTTTATTATCAGAGAAGATCAATACTTCTGGTCCAAGCACATCTAGCCCATAAAGCCTTCTCCAAACAGAGAAGAGGTGAGGAGGGAGGAGGGTGGCAGAGGAAATAGTTCCTTCCAGCTGATGAAGAAATCTGTACATTTTGAAGTTTCACCTAGACATCTGAAAATATCAGTGAGTTAAGTATGCAGAACCTGAATCCAAACCTCATCATGAGACAGGCCACAACTATCATGACAAAAACAATGACATTTGCAGATCATGATTATTACCACTCTTCCCAGGGAATATAGAAGTAAAGAAATGCAGTGCATGCACGAGTGCACATACACACACAAAAAATCTCTCCTAAAGCTAAAGAATTATCAATGTTTTCATAAATTTTACAGACTTTTCATCTCAAGTAGATTATCCTTTTTACTAAATACTTCCTGGAATTATATAATAAGAAAAATCCCATATATTTGTATATGTTTTCCATTTTTCAAAAGAGAATGGAAAAGACAACTTTTTTGTCTGTGAAGTTCCTTTCTTTAGGTTACTGCTATAACTGCCTCTTCCAATAAATTTCCGCTTAGGAAAAGCTGTGCCTCAACATAAAGCTTCTGGAAATATTCTCTGTACCATGCAAATATTAATCAAACAAAACAACATCTCATTCTTACTATTTTCAGTTAGTGAAACCAGAATTACAAGAACAGTTCCATGATTTGAATTAGTTTTAAGCTCACTTCTGTCAGAACAGATATGGTTCGTAAGAAAAAAGCTTTCAGGAAATCAGCGCACATGGAATGCTTCAGGGCAAGGACTAGGTGACTACATTCCAACCATCTATTCATCCAGATTACAACTGATATGAATTCTGGAGTGAAAACACTGGGAAAATGTAGCAGAATAGAAACAAATTATTCACCTATTACACCATACACAATGATGTTTTGATACTTCGAGAATTATTTATTTTTCAAGCAGTGATAGCGGCCAACATACGGCCTGATAGATACATCTAAATTACTTCAATGGGAAATGCCAAAGCTGAAATGACAAGGATACTGGACTCAGTCCTCCAAAATCCTCAGTATATTTTAAATAACCAGGAACTAAAAATACTTTTGGCCCTGAGGCCTGGGGGGCACTTACCCCCACAATAGCCCAAGCCCTACTCTTTTCCACACATCCCCTCAGCTGCACATAAACCTCAACAGATCTTTGATCCCCAGAAAAGTGGCTTCTGTCTCCTGTAACATGATTTGCAAGTTTTGGAGCTTACTGTCTGTCCTTTCAGTTGAATTCCCTTATTGTACATGAGGCTGTTAGATACCAAAGTGATTAAGGTACTACTAGAAGCTAAATTTACAGTGTACGTGAGTGGGCCACCAGCATTACGCATAAAACCATATAATATGCATTTCTCATTGTAAGAAGCACTTAAATGAAACAAATCTGCCTTATACTGGACTAACTAAACTGAAATTTAGTTTTAGTGCTTTTTTTAATGTATTCAATGTATGCTGAATTTCAATGTATACAGCATGCAAGAAGTTGTTTAATCTTAAATGAAATTATATTAACACCCACAAAGAAAAGCATTTTCTAGCAACCATTGCCAAGTCTTTTAGGGCAGCCTCCCAGATTGCACTCCGACAGTAACATTTATGGTTATGCTTGCCAGTGGCTCCACTGAGAGCTGCACAAGACCTGGAGAGCCACCCTGGTGGAGACTGGGATATCCTGTGCTCCTGCTGGCACCAGTGTAGAAGCCACATGAGAGCTGATGGGATGGCTGAGTAAGAACCAAAGGAGCACAGGAAACTGAAACATGCTTAAATCCTCACTGAGTAGTTATAATGTAGATGACGCAGCAAAGGATAAAAATGTTATATGCCTTTCAAAACAAATTGAAACAACACTCTCATTTAGCTTGGATCAAAGACAAACATTGATTTGCTGCTCTGGTTTTCAAGAAAATACTCCCTTTAATGGTTTCTGAGATAGTTATTATCAGAAAATGGCAGTGATTTCACACCCTCAGAGGAAAATTTTCTTCTCCCAAAAGACAGTCTTTCATGTATGATTCCTGCAAAGCCCTTGATTCACAAAGTAGTGACAAAAGCCTATTCAGTAACACTCAGATATCTTAAGTCTGCATCCACATTGGCCACCCAAGGGAATAAAAAAACCCTTATATTTACCTATATGAGTTCATAATTGAAAACTGGCATTTGAACAGGTCATGTATCATTGAAGAAGTAAATATTTGCGGGGGGCTTTCAGGTAAATTCAAGGCTTTTTACATAACATTTACATAAATATATGGTGCAATATTTCCTATCAGAACTAAAAATGAAATGTCTGATGTAAAAAATGTTAGAGGATGATTAGTTTAGGGAAGATAAAGAGATGCAGTGGGAAACTACCAAATAGCAGCTACCCAGACAGCTCTGAAACTGCCTTTATTCTCTGATAATAGACAAATAGGTAAGGCACATAAGATGCTGACAAAAATAAAGAAAACAGAAAAGAATATGGCAGTTCTTAAGGGCTGCAAAGAGCTACGAGCCACTGAGCTCAAAATTCATAACATACAAATCAGTAATATATAGAACAGAATGCAAATTAAGGAACATATAAGTGGAATATATGAGAAGAATCCTGCTATAAATCATAGTTATGCCTCAAACACCTCCTGTTTGTTTGTTTGTTTGTTTTGTAGGAACCAGCAGATCCACAATCAAAAAAAGTCAGCCTGATACCATGTGATTTCCAAAATGCAATAATATCCCTTGACAACACTACTGAAGAAATTCAGGGACATCCTCATGTGCTGAGCAACCACTGATGGAAGGAATTCAGGACCTAGAGAATCCCAGAGGGACCTGTGTGAAAGTTTATAACATTTACTGTCACAGGATCAGACAGATTACACCAACAGAAAAGGGATTTAAAAGATGAGCTAAAACTGTGTCTGGTTATTCATAACAGGAGAACTATTATTAGAGACACATAAAAATATGTCTGGTTATTCAAAACAGGAGACGATTGCATTCACAAAAGATGTGCAGAATTACACATACATAAGAAAGCAAACCAACACAGAAAAATACATCTTCCTAGTGTTACAAAATATAAAACCCCCCACCAGCTTTCCTTCTCTTCTCCTAACTTTAAGTAAAGTATGAGCCTGTTCATGAAAGACTGAATTTAACAGACTTTTCAATAGCACTTTGACTTAACTGATAAAATCTCTGGTTTTTAAAGATTGAATTTATCATTTCAAAATCTGTAGACACTGTATGGAAAAATACTGACAGTAAAATAAGTTATTCTTATTTTAAAATGTTGTTTCTATGTACAGTGCAGGCTGAACTGCTTTAAAAATGTTAGATAGAAACAATTTAAAACATCATTTCACTGAAAGAAATGCAAAGCAAGTATACAGGTTTCAGGAAAAAAAGAAGAGAAGACATGTTAATACTGGCAAGCTTATTGTCATGAGTGTTGAACTTTACTTGAAAAATATATTTTATAGACTTCTGGAAATAAAAAGCATTTTAAGCTTTAACTCTCCTGAAAAGGAATTTTTCTCCTTTCTTTGCATAAGTTGAAATACAAAAACAGAACACAGGGACACAGGGCAAGCAAGTGCAAAGGGCCTTGTGATATTTCAATAAAAAAGTCCTTCCAGTTTATGTAATTAATAACTTGATTTAATTTGATTTTCTGTACATCCTGTGCCTTTCCCGATGTTCTGAGGACCATCCTCAACTAAGTAAGATGCCGAGGGCCTCTTAAAATCTCCCTCTAGATACTCAGCATGTCATTCACTAACAACCCTGAAGAGGGTATAGTTGCACAGCACACTGCTCCTTCTCTCCTGAAACCCATTTAACTTAAAAACCAAACGATTGACTGATCTGTTTTCTCCTTTGCCTTTTGTTACAGTACTAAAAGTTTAGGACAGAAAAAAGAGCATGCAGAGAGTTTTGGATCTCACCTCCTTAGTCTTCCAAGGAAGTTACTTAAATAATTCCTTAATATATTTCTGTGCAATTCACCACTATGTTAACCACCTACAGATAAAATAACCTAATTATAATTTCAGTCAGATCAATATCTACCAAGAATTTAGAATGGCACTACAGACAGAAATTTCGGAGCGAAAAACGCGTGCCACCTAAATGAAAGATGTTATTCCACTAATCAACTAGAGCAGCTGTGATCATAAGAGCTGTTCCCACTAACCAGACCTACATTTCAAGCAAATGAAGTCTAAATTACCAGCAGTTATGCAGGAATCAGCTATGATTAATAAAGGCTAACAGGCAAAGAAAACCCCCTAAGCTGAAACCCCATTTTCAAATACAGTCTATCATACAGCATGTTGGTAGAGCTTCTATTATAATTCATGGAACAAACCCTCGTAAGTTGCGCTACTTGGAAACAGATAAAAGTATTTTTTAGCTGTCTCTTTACCAAACAGAATTATAAATTACCTGAATTCATTTTTATGCATTTCAGCTATTTTCTTGTCAAGCTTTTGTGACTGCTTGGGAAAAATCTTAAAGTCGCTGATGTAATTCTCTGGGTGTTCATCAGGATCATAATCACCAAGCTCAGCTGAACAAATCCAAAACACAAAACAAACCAGAAAAATTAAATTGCAACATTAATTAACAGGGAAAGAAGTCAATAAATGTACTGTAATTCAAGGCACTTCCACACTCAGTAAGAATCCAGCATATCTCAAGAAATGCTTTTTTGAGGAATTTATAATTAACTCAAACAGCAAAATCCTTATACCTGTCACTTTAGTCAATGAGTTTCAAGAGAAGCTCAATGCCTTATTAACTACTGCATTAATTAGCAATACTGAACTATTTTCTGTGGCAGACAATGCTCTGTAAAACAGAAGTATTGGCAATGTTGCCCTTTGAGCATCTATTTTTCTGGTACCAGGTAGATCTAAAATAACAGACTCCTGATTCTCCCCTTTTTCACATGATTTCTCTACACTGGCATGGACTGTCAGTGTGGAAACACAGGCCACGATGTTAATCAAGGTACCGGCCAGAACTTAATTTCTCTTCTAAAAGATGTGTCACTTAAGTACACAAACCTGACATTAGACCTGGTGTTCTAATTTTCTGAATGAGCCTCATTTAATTAGGGCTAGGCTCAGTTTTGGTTTGCATACACTGCCTTCTAAAGCATTAAGAGCTTTGTTCACCTTAAGGCAGAATAAAGAGAACTTTCACACACATGGTTTGCCTAATCAGATATAGATAGATGATTATTCCTCTCTGTACAATTCAAGACATCTATCTGAATTTGGTCCTAAGGAAATGATGGGGGGGTGGGGGGAGGTGGAAGTTCGGGAAAATAAACTAAAATATTTTTCCTCTTGAATTACATCTTATATTTTTGTCAGAGATTCCATCATCACATAGGTCTTCTTTAACATAAGAAAGGGCATCAAATCACACTTTTTCCTGCTTACTTCTAAAAGAATAGGCTACATTTCCATTCAGAATTCAGGAAGGACTTTTTCTCTTTTGGTAAGTGGAATCTAACAATGATGCCATACTTCTTCACTAAAATACTAAGATAACGTATTTGGTTTAATTTTTTTAAGCTCAACTTCCTTGGCTAACTGGCTGAATTATTTACAATGCTTCACAGTGCATGTCAATACAGGGAAACAGTACAACAAGAAGAAGAACAAGTTACTGCTAGCTGTAGTCACATAAGTTTTGCATTGCTTATTTGATAGAACCAACATATGAGTGAAGTATTTAAAGAAGCCTCTGCTCATACTTACCTTGGACTATACAGGCACCCAAGTAGGCAGCATCAGAAAAGGAACACAGCAAACGACCATGGAAAATGTCCCTTTTTATTTGTAGATATAAGAGATACCTGAAATATAATTTTAAAAATTAAGAAACAATGTGCTATCTTTTTGTAACAGATGTAATGTATCAGAGTGAAACCAGTTGTGCAACTACTTTGGATCTTCCTCTTGTTATTTCAAATGGCAGGAAAAAGAGGCAAAACACAACCACAAGAAAACAACAGAGGTAAATAGATTTTTTTTTCAATAGCAGTGAAATAATAAGAGCAAAAACAACAAAACCCCACATAAAATGCCATAGAACGTGTTTTATGTAAAATATATCTATTACAATTATGATTAATAATGTGAAATAAATTATGGTAATGTAAGCTTGTTTGAGCACCCCTGTTCTCATTATATACAAGTTTATACAAGGAAATCTTTCTCTTACTGCAGGCAAAATAGCACATTGACCATAGTGAGTACTTTTTCCTCTTCTGGTTTTGGCATTTGTTTGTTTGTTGGTTGGTTGGTTTTTTGGGGTTTTTGTTTGTTTGTTTGATTTAGTTTGGCTTGGTTTTGATTTTTTTTTCTTTGTTTTCCTTTGAATCTGTAAAGAATCCCAGATGAAGTTTGAAGTGAGCAATAACTTCATGAGGCCTAAAGAGCCACAGGCATGGGGCACCTGGCGAGTGGGAGGTCACCTCTCCCATTCATCTCTTTCTCTAAAGAAATGGGGAGAAGAAAACAAAAGGTTCCTTCTACCTGTCCTCTGCCTTCTACCACAGAAAGCTTCTATCATTCACAGCTTCTTTCTCAGCACCTAACAGGTTACAGCCGCACCATTCAGCTACTTCACCCCTGTGGGAAAATGCATTGCTTCAACTAGACAAAATCTACCATCTAGGGGGTATAACAAGACTCAGTGGCTTCTGGAGACCATCAGGACGTTCCCTGATACTGCCAGTCCTCTCCAACCTTGAGCAACACACAGCATAGCCAATAAAAACGCAGTTTATGAAGTTTAACAGTAATGTCAGATACATTTTGTCCAACTTACCTCTTCTGTTACCTGGTCATATAATGAGCTTCTGCATCAAAAAGAAGCCTGGAAATGCTATCTGAAGGGCAAGAGAAACTTTTCTCCTTTCCTTGGATTTTTACTGAATACAATAAATGGGATACAGTTATCAATGAGAAAAGCAATCTTCTCTCATTGTAAACACATCCCTTCATTGTATTGCAGGATCTTTACACTTCTGGGGTTTTGTTTGTTTGTTTGTTTGTTTTTGGTTTTGTTTTTCAGCACCTTTTTTCCCCCCTGTAATCAATGTCCAGTAACAGCTCACAAATTCACTTCTGTATGTTGGTACTGCTATTCTACAGGTAGACCCCAGAGGAGCTACCTGTAACAGAGTGCACAAGAGGCCTCAGTGAGATGAAGAAAAAATTCTTTATCTGCAATGACACTGTACCAGAAAAGGTTCAGTATATTGATGTAAATACCTTATATAACTTGGGCAATTGAGCAGTCCCTATGCCAAAAATTTTTGTAAGATTTCAAGGGTGAAAAAATGGGATGCCATTCTCCAAAGCTGACCATTAGCTTGAGGCCAAACTGTGTGAACACAGTACTTTTAAGCAGTGCCCAGAAAACCCACCCAAGATTTCAGAACATGGCTTGTTATCCAAGCCAGTGGAGCTTGGTCTCTTCTCCCAGGCAACCAGTGACAGTTCAGGAGGAAACAGTCTTAAGCTGCACTGGGGGATGTTTAGGTTGGACATTAGGAAGAAGTTCTTCACAGAAGGGGTGACTGGGCATTAGAATGGGCTGCCCAGGGAAGTAGCGGAGTTACCACCCCTGGAAGTATAGGGAAAGACTGGATGTGGCACTAGGTGCCACAGTCTAGTTGACTGTAGGTTGTGTTAGGTCATAGGTTAAACTTGATGATTTCAGATGTTTTTTCCATGTGATGGCTGAGGAGGCTGTGAACTCATGGGAGGTTCATGGAGAGAGGAGCCCCCACTGGAGCAGCCTGTCCTTGGAGCACTGCACCCTCTAGAAGAGTGACCTATGCTGCAGAGGTTTTGGGAGGGACTCACATTGTAGCAGGTCACTGAGAGCTACTGCTCACGAGATGGACTCACATCACAGAAGTTCATGGAGAACTGTCTCCCACAGTGCAAGAGGGAAAGGTCCCCTCTCCCTGAGCAGTGGAAGAAATAACTTGTGATGAATATGCCATAACCCATTTCCCATTTCTTGGTGCCATAGAAGGAGCAGGTAGAGTTGGGAAGGACATAGGGGTGGAGGGGAAGGTATTTTTAAGGCCTTATTTTACTTCTCATTATCCTGCTCTGATTTTTTTAGTAATAAATTCAATTACTGTCTCAAATTGCACCCTCTTTTCCCCATGACGGTATTTGGTGAGTGATCTCTCCTGGTCCTTATTTAAATTCATGGACCTTTCATTACATTTTCTCTCCTGTGTGAGAGGTCTAGCAGTGGAGAAATATGAGAGAAAGGCATTGGCTGATGCCAGGCATCCAGTCAGGGTCAACACACTACAAGGAGCATCACTCTTCTATTAAGTCTGAGCATCTTTCTGCATTTCAAAAAATTATATAAAAAAAGTATATATACACACTGCATGTGCTGCAGTCTGCTGAGCCTCCAGTGCACATGCAGAGGCCAAATCATTTGAGAAAAATAAGTTAAATCCTTGACACTTTCTCATCACAATTTTTTAAAAGGCATTTTAAAAGAAAGTGTATCTTTACCCTTTCTCAAACATGTTTCAAATGTGCAGCCTCAGTGCTCTGCTGTGGAAACTATTTCCTAAAATAAGGACAGGTCTTCTAAATCCATGTTGACATCCATTAAGATGATGAGCTGAGAAGCACTGAAGTGCATTAAGATTTGAACTTCAGTGACAAGTTGGGTTTCAGGTGGTCTATAACTACATAAGCAAGAGAGATCAAGGCAAAAATTTTCATGGCCTCAGAAGATAACTTGTGAATTACGATCCTAACACCAGCTCACTCTAGAGAAAACAGTGACCAAGGACCACACAGACCCTCCCTTCCATAGTAAAGAGGCAGAAATATTTTCCACAGAATTTGTCCTTTAGCAATAATATTTCAGAGTGCCTTGACATCCAAAGGCGACACTGATTTTATTTCAAAAGCATAGCTATGAAAATGGTTGTTAATTAAAACAAGAGAAGATGAAAGTAAGTGGCTGGAAAGGTACAATTCTTAGTTGTCCTCAGCAGCGTAATAAATTGCAGTGACAGGCAAGAACACAGCATCATCTGTTGGCCAAGGCATCCTGACCTCTGAACATGCAGCATGCACATGTTTTCAGACTACTGCAGGAGGTTTTTTTTGTGATATCACAGACATAGTGATGACTTCACATAGGTCATTCTCCACCTTCATTTTCTGAAAATAGTTTCACATGTTAAGCCACAGAGCAAGTCAAGGATTACAGTCAAGCCCAGCCTATAGGTTGGGCCTAAAATAGGACAGAAACAAAGCATCAGTAATCTGAGGGGACAACTCTTAAATTTTCTTCCTGCAAGTGATGTCTAAATCCTGAATAGTATCTCTACACTGCTTTCACAGAAATCAAACCTTTACCTCACAGACACAAAGCTTCATCTACTAAGCAATGATTTTTTCACATCAGCTTTTTCAATGAAAGAGTAGGAAAACCAGTTCATTTTAAGACTTGTAAGACTCTCTGATGTCTCTAAGATGCTTCATTGAATATTTATTCCTATAAAACATTTAAAAATACTGCATAGACAATAATCTATATGGGGGATTAACAACAGGGTTAATTAATGTCCTGACACAGAGTGGTATAGCAATGTGATTACTGTAATTTCATTATTTAAATGGGGACCACAGACACCCATCAGATTTCCACCCAGGTGAAGAAGTGGGGGAGCAGCTCTGACATCCATGGCATGGACAGTAACAGAAATACAAAACATTATTACTCTCATTCAGATGACTGTACATACAGCTGCAAAGTACAGACGGTTTTTTAGGCAAAGAGTGACAATATTATTAACTTATTTTCAAAACATCTTAAGAACTCACAGCAAAAAATATGATTGTCAAGTGAACACAGCAGCACTAAAAAAAAGGCAAAGCAAAAGTCTACCAAGAAGCCAAATAGTCTTCAAGGTTTCATGACTGTCCTCTGTAAAATGCCAAGGAGCATTCTTCTGCTTGAATTTCACCAATCATGGCAACTCAAGGGAAAAAAAAAGAACTCCAGCCAATCTAGAGCATCACCTAGAATCTGATCCTCTGCTTTGGTCATGAAGCAGATTCTCAGAGATGAGTTACATGACTGCACTTCACTTGCTCGTTTCAGGAGCATTTTAGGTATTTTGTTATTATGCAAGATACATGGCAGAAATGAAGCAAAGCTTCCCAAATAACAACATTGGGAAAATATGAAAATGATCAGATACAAAAATATGTTTAATTAATGATGTGTCAAATTATTTCTTCTTTTTAAGCTCTTATTGATATTAATTTTTATAAAAGTCTGTTACCTGTTTTTCACATAACAAATTTGACTTTAAAAATTTATTTGAAATATCCCAGCAAAGACTAAAATATACTCACAGCATAATAAACATCAGTGATCCAATTCTTTGTGCTTTGTATGTCAGTAAAACTTATCCTGGGAGGATATCCAAGTTTTTAAAAAGTCAATTAATTTAGACTCTTGAATGAGAAAGATCTATACTATCATACTCTGGAGCATAAAAGGTAAAATGTTCATCCAAGGACAAACAGTAGCAAATAATGGAAATCCATTGACTTCCTGGTTTATAACTTGTTCACTCAGCTGTACAGTTTCTGTATCTCATCCAAGATAAATAGCTATAAAATAATAGCATGCTCCAGATGTTCTATACAAACTACAAATATACCATTCAGCAGAACACAAGTTATTTCTGAAACTTTCAGTATGAGGCCCATGACAATGGAATCCCCTACATTCATGAAGCAGTTTGTGAGCACAAGCCCACGCAATGCTTGCGGAAGTCATCACCCACGAGCCCAAGGCAGCAATTGCTGAGGCACTCGGTGCTTCTCAGCACGCAGACAGCAGTCAGCAGCGTGGCTGTCAGTAGCAAGGTGGAAAAGCATACACACAGTCCTGCACAGCCAGCACAGAGCTCAAAAGAGCTACTTTCCTACATTTACACCCCATGTATACCTCTTGGAAAAATGCCCAGTGCAACAGAATATTCACAATGGCCAGTAGGAAGGACAAAGCTCCCATTCATTAAGCACAATTGAACTGTTGTACAACTCTGCTTTCACAGCAAAAATTTCAACATTCCAACATAAGCAGGGAGAATTCTTACTGTACAGAGCAGCTGTTCTGAAAAATATGAATCTATTGCACTTCTATATCAGTTTGTTTAAGGTCTGCCACTATGTTGAAAAATTATCTTATTTGTGATCCCAAAGACACACCCAAGAGAAAATTAAGTGAACTATACATAAATGTCTTGAAATGGGAAGGGAAGGGAAGGGAAGGGAAGGGAAGGGAAGGGAAGGGAAGGGAAGGGAAGGGAAGGGAAGGGAAGGGAAGGGAAGGGAAGGGAAGGGAAGGGAAGGGAAGGAAGGGAAGGGAGGGGAAGGGAAGGGAAGGGAAGGGAAGGGAAGGGAAGGGAAGGGAAGGGAAGGGAAGGGAAGGAAGGGAAGGGAAGGGAAGGGAAGGGAAGGGAAGGGAAGGGAAGGGAAGGGAAGGGAAGGAAGGGAAGGGAAGGGAAGGGAAGGGAAGGGAAGGGAAGGGAAGGGAAGGGAAGGGAAGGGAAGGGAAGGGAAGGGAAGGGAAGGGAAGGGAAGGGAAGGGAAGGGAAGGGAAGGGAAGGGAAGGGAAGGGAAGGGAAGGGAAGGGAAGGGAAGGGAAGGGAAGGGAGGGAAGGGAAGGGAAGGGAAGGGAAGGGAAGGGAAGGGAAGGGAAGGGAAGGGAAGGGAAGGAAGGGAAGGGAAGGGAAGGGAAGGGAAGGGAAGGGAAGGGAAGGGAAGGAAGGGAAGGGAAGGGAAGGGAAGGGAAGGAAGGGAAGGGAAGGGAAGGGAAGGGAAGGAAGGGAAGGGAAGGGAAGGGAAGGGAAGGGAAGGGAAGGGAAGGGAAGGGAAGGGAAGGAAGGGAAGGGAAGGGAAGGGAAGGGAAGGAAGGGAAGGGAAGGGAAGGGAAGGGAAGGGAAGGGAAGGGAAGGGAAGGGAAGGGAAGGGAAGGGAAGGGAAGGAAGGGAAGGGAAGGGAAGGGAAGGGAAGGGAAGGGAAGGGAAGGAAGGGAAGGGAAGGGAAGGAAGGGAAGGGAAGGGAAGGGAAGGGAAGGAAGGGAAGGAAGGGAAGGGAAGGGAAGGGAAGGGAAGGGAGGAAGGGAAGGGAAGGGAAGGGAAGGGAAGGAAGGGAAGGGAAGGAAGGGAAGGGAAGGGAAGGGAAGGGAAGGGAAGGGAAGGGAAGGGAAGGGAAGGGAAGGGAAGGGAAGGGAAGGGAAATTCACAATAACAGAGTTCCTCAAACAGCTATTATTCATAGCACAATTAAGAATCATAAAAATCCTATTTTTTCCTCTTATAAAAAAATCTCCATAACCTTAAAAAAATTCTCTCACCAACTAAACTAAAAAAAAGCATTTAAAAAATAATAAACTAATTAAAAATTTTAAGTTTAGTTCCTTTACATTATCAATAAGAAAAAAAATTGTGAGGAAAAAAATTGCTCTAAAAATTTTTTTTTAATTCTTACTACTTTTTCTCCTAATTACTTTTAATAAAATTTTCTTCATACCCTTTTAAAATTTGAAACCTGCTTTACCTTTCTTCTCATCCTATCTTATAATAAAATAAAAATATATTAATAAATAACCAACACCAATTATATTCTTTAATACATTAACCAAAAAATCTCAAAAAAACTTAAATTAGCAAACCAAAACCACTATACAAAATTAGTCTTTCCATCCAATTGCAAACTAAGACATTAGCAAAGCACATTAAACATTAGCAAAGCACATTAAATGGACAGACTAAAAAAGAAACAAAAAAAAACCACCACAAAACAAAAAATACCTGGTGAGCTCTTCTTTAATCTTCAAGGGTTCATGTGGGTAGAATTTCACTCTAAAGCACATGGTATACGGTGGATGAGCTGAAAAATTATAAAGAAAAAGCATGAAAACCATGGGAAACAAACATTGCTTAAGCCACTCTGAAGGAGTGACCTTAAAGTCACTTACTAATGGTTACTTTAGGCAAAAATTCAAACAAGAGCATTATTATATATGCTTTATTTTGGGGTGGCCTTTTTTGGCAAATGATAAGTAGAAAGCAATGATAATACTACAAAATTGAAGAAATAATTTACTTAATGAAATTCAAGACAGTGGAATATTTCTGTTCCAAGTATTTAATAAGTTTATAGTACCTAACTCTGAGCAATGGTATCAATACCAGGCCTGATGTACAATCTTTTCAATAGAAAAGAAAGGGAAAAAGAAAGGGGAAAGGGGAAAGAGGAAAGGATCACAACAATAGGAAACATTTCCATTTTGCAATCAATGCCTCTCAGGCACTTTGATTCAGAGCAAAGTGCAGATCTACAATATTCTAGTTAGTTTTATTATATTTTGGTCTTGATATATTCTCAAGGTAGAGAATTTTAAATTTCCAAAACCTTGAAGAGAGTATGCTTTTACAGCAAGAGAAGAAGAAAGCAGAAGAAAAGGGCAAGAAAAAATTACAGAAAAAAATGGAAGACAATACCAAGTGAAATCAATAATTTCTTTTTTAATTGTAAATTAAAACATCAATTAGTAAGCTACCAGAATATTTTACTGTACCATCTTCTTAAGCTAACCAGTTCTTAGGTTTGTATAAACATCTTATGGTGATTAGTTCAACAATCATGATACTCTTCAAGCTAGTTTGACCGCAGTATTTACATGTATACTGCAATGTTCCAGAAACCCATCTCTAGCTATCACACAGTTCCATGTGATGTACAACAGCAATAGAAAATAAAAATGAGTTAAATATTTTGTCATGTTTGGTATCTTTTGGAAGGCTCAACTCTTCCTGAGGATAAAGGAATATTTTTCTCTTTCAAAACCTCACACTGTACTTAATTTAAGTACAGTCACTCTCAACATAAACTGCTGATTTCACTTTTTCTCATTGTTTAAATAACTGTTCTTTTAAGACACAGTGGGAAATTTCAGAAGTGATAGGAAAGGAAATATGAAAAATACAGGAAAAGAAAAAAACAAGTAATCAATAATAAATAGAAATTAAGGGGAAATGAAAATAAATAAAGCCTTAATTGTTCTCTAGAGATAATTTAAACTTCCGCAGTTTTCAGATCTGGAGAAACCCTCTGAAGGATAGAGAAACACTCAGTCTGTTTTCTGTGGGCTTTGCTATCCTAGATGCGACTGTAGCATTGTTTTACAATGGACTGACTGACTGGAAACAGTGTGCAAAACAGAAGACATTGCTATTGCTATGTCTTCACTGCCCAGGAAAATAGAAGGTAAAGTGAGTTCACTGTCCTCAAAAGGAAAGCAACCATGTAGAAACTCGCTAAGGAGTCATGATGCAAAAGATAACACAGCAAAAGATAACTTAAGTAATCTTAAATGTTTCTATCACTCCTCAAAAGTCATGTAAAGTCATTTCCTCCCTAAGCAAGGGAGGAAAGCCTGCACTTTTGTAATACTGTTCCAGTTAACAAACATGACAGGAGAGACAACCTGTATTAAACAAGCAAGAGCTCTTCCCATGGGGGAAAAAAAAAAGAAAAAGAAAAAAAACCCTCTATTAAATGTTTTGTCAGATTTAGAATTAGTTTGGAAATAGCAATGAATATGTAAGAATAGCCAATGCATGTGTCTTCAGGGCCCTAGCAAATACAAGCTTACTGCAAGACTCCAAAGATGCACTGAATTTTACCCAATTTTCCAGATGTCAATTTAAAAAATTGAAAATTTTTCAGCAGTAAAAATAAATAAATAAATAAAAGTTATATTAGAAGAGCTCTATTCTGGCAGTTTATAGTAAACAAATAAAAGTATCACCTGTCCTATATGCAAAGACTATCACAGTGAGAAAATTACAGCATACATTGCACCATAAAAATAGCCCACATTCATAGGAAAGATTAAAGTAGGAAATGTTTTACTTGAGCAGAAGAACAGTATTGACAGAAGTACACACCAATGCACAGGACATGCAGGTGATTTGTCAAGGCAGCTTAAAACCTGTTTCTCAAATCTTTTCCTAGACTCAAGCTCCTGTAATAATATTCCTCCTCAGCAGTGCAGCAATACTATACAAGTCTGCTGCAGCCTGCTAAGCCAGGATCCCTTCTCTATTGCTGTGCAAGAATGGAACAAAAACAACTTGCAGTTTGAAATAGTAAAAAGAATATCAACCTGTCCATCTAATTCATCTGTGGAGATAAAAATGTTCCCTGCAATTACAGGAGATCCTCTTTTTCTGTTTCTTATTCTCAGTTGGAAAGCCAGCCACAACGAACATTTGAACAGGGAAGGAGGGAACTCCTAAAGATATCCACTTTACCCTCCATCTTAATTATAAGATCATAAGCCAAATGTTCTTCCAAAGAGACATTTGATGATGCCTTTTAGCAAGGCCTTTTTCTCATCGATTTTACCACACTGGAGAAACATGCATGAGGACTTCATGTTCTGTCTTTGGTTTCTCATAGTGGAAACCAAGACAGCCATTGAATTTTATCAGCTCAAGAGATGTGATTGTCAAGTCAGGTAATTTTTCAATTCCTTGAAAGCAAAATTACTTTTGACCACTTACATATTAAAGTGGAAACATTAAAAACAAACCTCCCCAAAACATAGCAGAAGTTGAAGAAGTACATTTCATCAACACAAAACTATCAACATAATCAGTTTTTCAGTAGTTGTATCTTATCAGCCTTTTCTTTCAGAGGGTCCTTTATCTCTCAGATAAGAAGCAGCTGGCATAGCAAAATGCCTGAGGCTCTGTCAGAATTTTCTACCCTCTAAATTCACTTTCTCACTAAAAACCATTCACAATTACAATAATTTCAAAGGACTATAGTGTGAAGAATAGTATTGGCAGCAAACTCAATTGAAGCAGAACCATTAATTTGCCAGTTTATTATACTAACAGTATGTAAGAGGTGAAAGAAAAAGTACAAATAAAATCATTTATGTTAAATGCTGAAACAAGTCATCATCTAAACCCTCATGAAGGAGGTACACACAGAGCATAGTTTTCAAGGCAACTGGTTGTATGTTTTTAAAGTTTATTTCACTTACATTTAACTAAGATAAAATATTCTATGTACATCAAAGAGGAAGGATCTCCCTAACGTACTCCCAAACCTACCAAACCATGGCAAAAACAAAGAGGGATATGGGAGATGCCTCCATTGTACAGAAATCAGTAAGTAAAGGACTGAGTCTTGCATGAACTATTTTTAAGCACTCTACAAAAAAGCCCACACATTTGTATTACCATTTTCTTCATAGAAAAATAATCTGAAAAATAATAAAATATTTATGTGTGCTGGTTTTGGCTGGGGTAGAGCTAATTTTCTTTGCATTGGCTGGTATGGGGCTATGTTTTGGATTTGTGTTGAACACAGGGTTGATAATACAGAGAAATTTTTCATACTGACACCCTGGTGAAGAGACTGTAAGTGCATGGTAATTTGGGAGGAGACACAGACTGGGTGGATGACCCCAGCTGACCAAATAAATATGCCAGATGACATGACATCATGGTTCAGTGTATAAAGTAGGAGGAAGAAAGAGGAAAGGGAGGTTTTTGGAATAATTGCCTTTCCGAGTCACTGTTACATGTGGTGGGGCCCTACTGTCCTGGAGACAGCTGAACACCTGCCTGCCCATGGGAAGGGCTGAACAAATCCCTTGTTTTGCTTTGCTTGTGCGGTCTTTCCTTTCCCTATAAATTGTCTTAACCTATGAGTTTTCCAACTTTTACCCTTCTCTCACTGACCCTGATGATGGGGGACTGAGCTGTGCAGGGCCAGTTGCTGGCTGGGGTTAAACCACAACACTATGAAATATGAAAATAGTTTTTAAAAGCTGTTGAAAAATTTGATTGAAATTTTACAAGGGTCAACCAAATAGAAAAATATGGAAGATTCTCAGCTGACATTTTTTGGAAGATTTGTTTTTCACAATCTCCTTTTCACAAAGCATGAATGTAACCTTCTATAATGCACTGCACTGACAGTGTTAGGGTTTTTTACATTAAACATGAAATACAGATAGATACTGAAAGCAAAAGCAGATGTTAAAATTATCTTCACAGTCCTGAGAATGCAATATTGCTGGATACTTCCTTTACCTCTCCTTGATGTTACATATTCTCTGAACTACAGATTCCTACACAAAGTTAGTAAAATTTAAGAAACAAACAAACAAGGAAGAAAAAAATTACACTCAAATAGTCTTCATTTTCGCTATTTCTGTAGAAACATCTCTGGGAAACCATTAAGACATAGTCGTTTCCGTATACCTGTTTTCTTTCCAGATGAATCAGCTGTTCATGCATACTCATTGCTGAGCATTTTTAAGACAGACAGAACATTACTCACTGTTTTTATGCACAAGGGATACCTGAGCTATCATAAATCTCAAATTAGGCCTCTTTCACATTGCATTCATTAGTTACAGAACAACACAGGGCAAGGTGGATTTTTGTTCAGGTGTTTATAATAAAGCTTAAAATGCTGTTATTAAATTTTCCTGAGGATCACAGAATACACAGCATTCAGATTAGTGCCTTACAGATCACACAAAACTCCCGTTCTCATTGTACATGTATTTATGAATCTCATATTTGATTAAACTTTTCTTTACATTTGTACTACAATCCCCTGGTTCATTCCCCCTCCTTTCAGGTTTTAGGACAGCACTAGAGATCATGGAAATTAATTGAAAAATTCCAATGATCTGACACAGGAGAACATCCTTGTAGCATTACTCTTTTAGATCATAGAATCATAGGGTGGTTTGGGTTTGAAGAGACCATAAAGATCACCTAATTCTAATCCCTGCTGCCACGGGCAGGAACAGCTTGCAACTAGACCAGGTTCCAATCTGGCCTTGAGCACATCCAAGGACAGGACACCTACTACTTTTCTGGGCAACATGTTCCAGTGCCTCACCACCTTCACAGTAAAGAATTTTTCCCTAATATGTAATCTAAACCTACTCTCTTTCAGTTATGAAAGGCAACAAGAAAAACATGAACATTTAGAACTCCTGCACATCAGAGCAACAGGAATTATTCTGTCCCACTGTCATCAAGAACAAAACTCATATATTGGGATATTTCCCACCAAGCAGGTTACAGGAGAGCTGCATATTATTAGGCAGAATAATCTTTAAAAGTAATCAAAAAAAACAGCAGGAGAGAAAGTGCATGGGAAAACTCTCCTTTACTTAAACATTAGTGTTAATATGACTCAGGTTTTACACCATAAAATTCCTAGAGAGAAAATAAGCAACAAAAATGTAAGATTGCCAAACAGAGAACCCTACTGTCAGCATTTGGGAGAGAATAACACTATGCACAAGAACATGCAAAAGAACAGAAAGATTCTTTTAGAAGTTCTGTATCCCAAACCACAAAGATACAGCTTTCTTTGGCAGCCTTCCAGAGAGTTTTCCATCACACTATTGGAAACACACTGCTTGCGGCTGCTGATCATTGGTCACCAATTGGCTTTAGTCTGTACAAACAAGACTAGCAGTGGTTCAGGACATTTCTCAGAAACCGAATTTTTCCCTCTCAGACAAAATCAGTGGTAAAAATGGCTGAGGCACGGACCTAGACTTTACACATCATGTTAAAATATGAACACTACAATGACAATGGAAAATGCAAAGGTAGATGGTGAGATAAAAAAGATACCCTGCCTTCATTCTTTTTATATGGCACCAGAACATATATACATATAGTTTCATATGTGATAAGACAAAATATAAAATTTTAGAAGATTCTTCCTGTCATATAACAATATTACTAAATATGAACTTAAAGCAATCTTTTCAAAAGCCAAAGAAATTTAAATTGTAGCAGAATTTAATTGTTGCCGGATTATGAGTCCTGTACAATCTGACTATAGAGAGAGTATGCCTGAGTGATTCATGTACTACTGAGGCCCAGGAAAGCTACTACCTACCAAAATGTATACTAGAATACTTCTACTAGTCAAACTTTTTCTGCTCCAAATATTTGTCAATATTGAGCTGCATGAATAAACAGGGTGAAAAACTTGCTGCTCTGATGGAGGCAAAGGAAGCTTCCCAAAAATGGTAGATGAGCTCTAGAACACAGCATTTTTGAAATTTTTTCTGCACTTTTCCAAGTGCTTCACAATTCTGTGTAAATCTAAGCATTTGACTGAATTTAGAATTTTTTGAGTCATTAGAGATTATCAGAGAAAATTATTAATTATTTCCTGAATTCCTTAATGAAAAGAAACAAAAGAAAACATCCATTTATTGCAGTCACTGAATATCTTTCTGGCATAATTTCTACCAGAAGTCACACTATATATGCATTAAGTATGTGCTATTAACCAGTCACTTCATTGCTTTAGATTTTAGACTTTACACCTTTTAGTAATTTCAGTCCTCACTTTTGCCACCTGACACTGGGAATTTTGCGAGTGAGTATCAATAATTTCTTCTGAGCTTAAAACTTTTCATAGTAAACGGAATATTTTTAGATCAATTATGAATTAACCTTCTTCCTTTGAAATTGTTTTATTTTCTACATTAATACAGCCTATTTTTAGAAGAACAAATCAAAAGGTTCTTGATGTCAAATTCATACCAAAATGTCCTTGAAACCTGTGGGAGCATAGTCTTCATGGATTCTACACATGCACAAAATATGTATGTATAGCTTTATTATTTTTTTCCTTAAAGGGTTGTTGTAGCAACTGAAATCTTTCTTCTGTGACATAAGAGAAAGTTAACTTACACTAGTTTTTTTAATTGTAAGTTGTCAATCCTATAGTTAAGTCAACTTTTGTGTCCTGAATCTAAGGCTGGTAACAAAAATCCTCTGTTAGCATCTCATTCACTTTGGCTGTTGTTCTTAAGACCTTTTCACCATGATAAACAACCTCATGCTAGATGCATTTTATTTTTCATTTTTGCTATGTATTCATTTGGTTTTGGAATTTTAATTAGGATTCTAGCACAAAAACCACAGAAATCCTCTGATGACACCATCAAATCACTACGTATATGGAATTCATGGACTATCATGTATCACATCTAGGCAGCATCTATATGCAGGAAAGGATATTTTGAATACATTAACACATTATCAGCACATCTGTTGGCAGAGCCCCTGCATGTGTTGCTATGCAAAGTGCACAAGATCAATGAGTCCTTATACTTTGATGAATAAAAGCAGTAACATAAATGCAGGGCAGAGGATACCTTCAGGAAACTGTTCTACTTTTGATAACACATTGGAAGGAAGCAAGAGATTAAGATAATTTACAATTATTACAATTTCTGTTCTTCCCTATTTTCTTCCTTTACTAGCATTGCTGAGGATCACAACTTTGTTCCAATTTGACATTCTTGAACTTTATTATTGGATAGTACTCCAGCTAGCTAAACACTAGATATACAAGTTCACTTTGAATATGCCCAATATATGTGTGTTGGCATATGTACACATGTATGCATATATGGCATACATGCATACATATTGCATTAATGGAAGAATGCCTTGAAGTATTCCTTATAGTGCAGTCAACATTCAGTATCAACTGTTTTTGTGCATTAGACAATCTCTTAAGCCTCACCATATTTTAAACCAAATACATTGTCTCCCACACAAAAGGCTCTTTGTACTTATGCTCAAACCAGAAAACTGTATACAAGCAATATGAGGATAAAATTCTCCTGCATTTCATAAGATAGATAGATAGATAGATAGATAGATAGATAGATAGATAGACAGACAGATAGATAGACAGATAGATAGACAGATAGATAGATAGATAGATAGATAGATAGATAGATAGATAGATAGATAGATAGATAGATAGATAGATAGATAGATAAATGCTAAGACACAACTTCTAATGCACCACGTCAGTTCTGTGGAATTGCCAAATAAACTGTTTTCTGCTGCTGGATATAAGTTTCTGAGTACAAAGCAGTTCCGTTTCCTGAAGAGGTCTTCATAGTTGGACTATTTAATGGAAACACTAGGGCAGACAGTAACATTTCCAAAAGATAATTAAAATAATACATTCCTGTTTTAAAGACACTTTTTAAAATACTGATCTTAAGTTTCCCCCACCTGTGGCAGAAAGCCCACCACTTAGCCTACAGTACCTGAATTTTCTGGACAGTAACAATGATCTCAAGCCAATGCTCTGCATTTTCAGAAAGCAACGGGCAGCAGAAAGAAGGACAACCAGAAAAGACCCAGAAGCAATTGCCACATTCCATTTTTATTACAATCTCCCAGTGGCTGATGGCATCTGACTGAAAATGAGAGCTGGAACATAGAGGTCTTCCAACCAGATCTGCCATCCCAGGTGTCTGGCACCTGGCTGTAGCCATGAGCAGTAAGGAAAAGCTTTTGATCACTATAAGATGGTAAGATCAAGGCAGCATGGACCTTTTTACACTCAGAAATGAAGCTTATTCTAAATTACTGCATGGAAGCACAAGAAAACCTTCAGTTATTTAAAAATAATTTAAAAACAGGAGCTTTCACAACTTACATTTCATTTGCTTGAAGATGGACTTGTTTGGCTCAAGCCAGTGCTGGAAAGACAAAGCAGAGAGCAGAGGTTAATATGGATCAAATAGACAAAAATAGCCTTGTAAATGTATATGGTACCAAAAATGAGAAGTAGGAATTTTGTTTCACTGAGACATACATAAATGAGAAAAGCACCTCATACTGGAATATACTGTATAAGCATACTTGATATCACCAGTGCCTGTAAAATAGATGTAGTTGAGACAGAAATAAGACCAATATTTCAAAGACATTTAAAGGGGACAGACTGTAGTCCTCAGCTTGCAGTAGACATTTTATTCTTATACTTTTAGCCATTTTTTTTGCAGAAGAATGATCATATCAGACAGTAGAAAAGAATATTCAGAAACTTTAACACTGTCTCTTCATTAGTGTTGTCTTCTACATTTCTTAAAACTGAAGAATGTCTGAGTACTATATCCCTAGTCAAAACACACAGGACAAAAGCTATTGTTCTCTTCTAGCAATAATTAAAAATCTCAAGGAAAAAAAATTGCACTTTTCCATGAAATGTTCACAGTACGCTAATCATAGATAATGTACAGCCGAGAGGTATGGATGCTTATCCGTAGGTCCATAAATTTACAAAAAAATTTTCAGGTTTTTTTGTGGTTTTTTTTTTTTGTTTTTTTTTTTTTTATTATTATTCTTTTAGAAAATAAACTCAGGTGCTTCTGTGACCAAAAGTTAGGTGCACATTTCAGTTAAGAGCCTTAGCCCTGCTGGCACTAGCTGACCTGCTCAGGAGGATGTTTTGTCAGACAAAAGAACATGCTGATATTCAAGTGCCACTTCCAGCCAGCAGCTTTTGTATTAGTATTTTTCATTTAAGCAAAAATCTTCACAGTAAAATGAGATTTGTGCTGTGGAAGCAGCTGGTCAAAAAGCACAGCATTCAGTTTTAATAAGCATACTCAGCACTGGAAGGCCTTGTACTAAGGGGTTTCATTTTTAACCCTTTCATTCTAACTCTAAAAACCTTTGGTCAACTGCAAAAATAAAACCTAGCATTTATTAAACCATATCCAATACTTAAAATATAGTACATGGGCTACCATTTCTCCTCATAACCTTTAGTAATTCTACTACAGAGAAAGGCCAGGGGTACGTATTTTGTAAGAGTTGTTAATAACTGACAGAAAATTATTACTGTAAAACTTATGACATCTCAAGAATTCAGATGAAGTCAGGATAACTGCAAATTAGTTTGCTGAAAGAGTACTTTTGAAAAAACAAATACCTTCAAAAGAGCATTTTCAAATATCTCTGGTTTATATGTTATGGTTGCTCAGAAACTCACACACATGCGGTGTCACAGTGGTACTGGAGATAAGCTGTGCAACGTATTTCTATTTGAAGTTCACTTATCACTGAGAGACTGATGTGGAATCCTCATACAAAGAAAACAAAAAGCCAACAACCTCAAACTTCAAACAACAGCCACAGCACAACAACCCTCCAACATTTCTTTACCTATTCTGTTTTCCCAGTACCTTTCTTTTTAGGGGAAAAGATGAAAGAAACAGAATTGAATCAGCAATGACAGTTTCACTGAGTTACCAGAAATATGTAGCTCGTTTCATTCTTTTTTTAGATCATACATATAAATTATTTATGTGTTTCACTCTGAATAATGGGGGCTGAGAGTTGCTCATAAAAAGATAAAGACAATCTGATTTAAGAATTCTTATACAGTCCACAATGATTTAGAGATACATAATCCAGAATGAATTCACAGATAGGAAACCAAGACAAACAGGTATACAAGTCCACTTTCCACAAACCCACCCCACATCCACTAGGATCAGGCCAGTCCTAGATGAAGATTCAGACAGCAAAGGGGGACTTGGACAGTGAGCCATCCTGTACTGCTCCCAGGAAACTGAAAGTTAAGAGTATTCACAATTTTCATCTAGAAGAAGCACAACACAGTTTTCTTGATATTTCTTTTTGAAATACCAAGCTGGAATATCAGCACAGACCAGATCAGCATTTAGAATTGTTTGGAAAAGTTGTAACAGGTATAAAAGTTACTTATTATAACAAAGCAGTCAGAGATAAAAAAAAGGCAAATTTGCAAATATGAAACCCTGATACCTACCATGTGAATAATAAAAGAGGGGGAATATGGATGAAATTCCTCAAACACCCAGGAATGCACATTTACCTAATACGTCCAAAATCAAACATGTTTCACTAAGACTTGACCTTCATGGGTTAAAAACAGATTGAAAAAACACCAAGCAATTAAGCAATCTAGGTTTTCACATGGAGGTCATGGAAGTGACAGGCAGTTTCTACAAGCTCAGATTTCTGCTGTGACCTTCTGTTGGTGGAAGATTGCAAACGTATACACAATTCAGCAGAATCTTCCAGAAAACATAGGAATTACTTTATAATTTGTGGAGACTTTCAAAGACACAGCAATTAGGTACTTAATGCTCTCTGAGTCTCAGGGGAAGATAAACACCTAGTCATTGCTAATATTTCTGGAAATAGCTACCCCTATATTTATTTGCATATTTTCAATTTGGGTTTTAGGAAAGATTTACCCCTGAGTACTTATCTTTCAGCTTTACAGCATCGACTAGTAATAATTAATACCTGTGCCTCATCTCTACTATACAGTATCCAAGCTATATTTATTCCAAGATTAATTAGCTGTTATAGTTATGAGGAGATTAAGGCTCCTATAAATTAATCAAACTGTTTCTGCAGAAACTTTAAATTGAAAAGTATTTGGTTTTCCAAAATGTCTTTTTGTGTAGCAATATTTTTTTAACAATTCTCCTGAAAAAAAAATCTTAAGTGAATGAAAATATAACCCTTCAAGTGAGCTTGTCAAGATAAATTTTAAATATTCAGCTGCAAAAAAATGCCATTAATACATCTGTACATTGTCTTGCAAGAAGGCCACAGATGTTTCCAACTGTTCTTTGCAAGGAGTTATTGTACCCTTCATTGTACTTGATAAAACTAAGAAAAAACCCAAACAAAAATAGTCAGATATAAAACTGTAACTAGAGACAGTAATCTTTCATTTCCTTACTAACACTAAATTTTGCAAATCAGGAAGAGAAAAAAAAAAAACTCCAGCAATTTTAAGCAGTTAATCTCTGTCTTGTGTATTTGACATTGTAGTCCACCAAGACTGCTTTAATTGAAGGATGGCCTACACCCTCAACTCAGCTTGGCTTTATGCGTGGTAGCACTTACTGATCACCAGAAATCATTCCTGCGGGGGCTGAACTTCTTGATTCATTGAAAGCATGTTAGCAACATGGTTGCTGCCCAATGGGGAAGAAAATACTCCAATCCTAATCCTGCTAACACATTGCCAAGCATCCTGAGAGGAGATTCATGTTCACCACTACTAATTTCTAATCTCTTTGCCAAAAATGGTTTCAGCAGCTGCTGTGTATCTCAGAGATCAAACAGGTGCCCTCACAGAAAACAGAAGGATGAGAGAAAGATACATAGAAATCTTGAAGGTCAGTCATGGGATAGCTAATGAGTCTTGGTGCTTCAAGTGCCAGCGACGCATAAGCAAACTATCACAGGTATCATTTTTGGTGCTGGGATCCTAAAATATATTGAGCATTGCCTTCTGACTAAGATTTCACTGGAAGTATACGCTGTGTTTCAGACTAGTGCAATTTTTACTTTGTAAGTAGAGCCTTCATCTTTGATCAGCCCTTAAGTGGTGCTGAGTAGTCATTAGCGAGGCCAGGTGTGTTCTTGCTTACCCACAAATGCTGAGCAGCTGATGTGCTATCAGCTTTCACAGCAAAAGCTCAGAGTGAACAAGGACACCCTGCAAGGGTAAAAGCACCATTCTAGAAAGTCAGTTTGACTCCACAAACACTGATATGCTTTTAGTAAAAAACACTTCAGTCTGTTTCAAATTAAGCCATTCACTGAGAAGGTCTAAGAGGACTGAGCTTGGTCTTGATTCAGCACAGGGTTAAGGGTTTTAAGAAACTGTGAGGAAAAAGGAAACAGTGAGAGAATCAAAGAATGGCCTGGGTGTAAAGGGACTTTAAAGACTATTTTGTTCCACCTCCCATTCCATTGACAGAGATATGTGTCATAAAACCACATTGCTCAGAGTTTAATCCAGCGAACACTCCCAGGGATGGGCCATCCACAAGTCCCCTGGGCAACTTGCTCCAGTGGCTCAAAGCACCGGAAGCAAAGCAAAGTCTCTTATCTCTTCGAAGCCGAGAGAGGCTTTTGATTAAGTCCCTTTGTTTGGAAAAGGAGCAGTTAGGAAGGGGCAATTGAAAGTGGCCAAATACTATGAATACTTAAATTTCACTCGGCAAGCAATACTTAGCCAAGTACTTGGATGTGCATACAGTAAAAGAGAATCAAAAGAACCTGCAGGTTTTACAAAAATACTACAGTCAAGGGCTGGATTGGAAAATTTTGTTTAATTGACAGAAGAGAGCAGGAGAATTGAGATATGAAACACTGCTAGAAAATTAAAAGAATAATTAATTTTATTGAAAACTCCACCCTATATTAATCTTGAAAAGGAATATCTAATATTTTCCTTGAATGAAAAGCAAAATCAAGGTAAATTTGCTTTAGCTTCAAAGAAATCACTTTTGTGATTGCCCAAAAAACCCCCAAAACCATAAAACAAACAAACAAGCAAAAAATCAATCAAACAAACAAATACATATCCAAAGCTTACAGAAGTTCAGACAGGGGAATTAATTAGGTGGCAAGGAACTCTATACAGGCACAAGAGATGCCAAAGGGTCTAGGGCATAATGTGTGTCTACTTCATGCCCTCAAGAATATTGACATTGTTCTGCCATAGCAAAAGAGCTGATCTTCTGTATTTTTTCCAAAATCAGAGCACCGATGCTATTTAGTGGCATGTTAATGAGGAAGAAACAAGGTATATCACTTTCACAAACATTTATCTGGTCCAGAAAAGGTAGTCACATACACTGGAGCAAAATCACCATTTGTATGATTCTGAATTGGCATT